AGCTGAAAAATGGATATGGGGGAAAGCATTTTGCGGTGGTAGTTATTTCTCACTGCAGTCCTTTATAACTTCTCAGATGGGAGATTCATGACCCTAGGAAGAAGTCTGTATGCTCCAGGGTTTGGCCTGCGGCAGCCTATGACTCACTCGCCTACCAGGTTTGGCAGTAAGCTGAGAAACAAGCAAGACAGCAAAATGTCTTGTGGAAACAGCAAAACAAGAGACGAATTAATTGCTGGAAGAGCAAAAAAATAAACCTCTGTGCACAAAGTAGGGCCCTAGATGGAGAGAGAGCGAGCGCGTTCACGCCACTGAGGACTCCAGAGGAGCTGGCATCCCAGGCAGCCAGCTCCATTCCTTTGCAGGCAAAACAGATTCAGGATGCCTCAGTCTTAAAAGGTGAGGTAGGTGGAAAGAGAAGATTTGAGGCTCTACCAGCCATTCCACCAGCAGCAAGATGGTTTTCCAGGGGCTCAAGGAAGAAAGAGGATTTGTGGATCTACATTGCCACCTAATGGCAAGGAATAGCTTAAAGCTTTCACTGTGGCCCAGAAATGGACTATGACAGCAAAGTAAGTGAAGAGGGGATGGTCCATACGGATCATTGTCCTTTGTTCTAAAGGGAAATCCTTCTCTGCGACAGAATGGGTCTCACCGGTGAAGGCAATACAGCCAGCCCAGAGAAAGGACGGGTAGCCAGAGTCTTGGGATAGAGGCTGCTGATTCCTCCTCTTTTGGCATCCTCTCCACTCCGTTCTGTATTAGCCAGGAATGTTAACGTGCGTATAGGATGGGATTTGCTTTCTTCTGGTGTACCAGATACTGGCAGTGAGACAGGCTTCCCGAGCAGGTGCATGTTTCAGGTGCTGAGTGAATTCTGCCATCCTATTCAAAACAGTGTCAAATTCAGCATCTCAGGTGTTCAGGACCCTGCTGGGAAATGCAGATAACCAGGATTATTTAAGAAAAGAGGTAAATTCCCCTTGGATCTAGGCACAGGAAGAGTAGATGTACCATTTTGGTCACACCTAGCCCAGTACCTTGTGTGCATCCGTGGTGAGTAATGGATACTTAATGAGAAAGTATCAGAAAGAGGGTATTACAGATTTGTTACTGCCCTGCCATACCCTTCACGCTGGGAGACAGCCCTGTACGGAGAACCCACAAAGAAAAGAAATTCAGTGAGATAGTTTCTAGAACAGAAACTTTACAAGAGAGTGGACTATTAGAAGACACATTAAGAAACCGAAGGAAATTTGGTAAAGGATTGCCAACAGCTTCTTTCTTCTGCTTTGAAACGTTTCTATCCGTGACGCATGCAGCTTTGCATGTGAGGGGCTGAAGCTCAGTCAATGTAAAAGGTGATCTTTTATGACCAGGAGTTTACAACAGAGCAGGAGCGGGGGGAGAAAATGGGGATATAAAGTGTCTGCTTTTCCCAGATAGTGAAATGGGACGTAGTGTGGGTCCCAGCTAACTTCTGGGCAACAAAAAAGGAGCAGGGATTGAGAGCGTAGAAAATTTTGAGACCTGCCAGACTTCGGGCCACAGGTCTGCCCCCCCCCCCCCAGTCTGTTAAAATGCCTGCTGCGACATGCTTCCCATGCAGCGTGCTGCCAAAGAAATGAGCACACTCTCGAACAATCCAACTCCATTTCCTTCTGGTATCCTCTCATATTTACACAGCCAACCTTGCCAAGCCTTGCTAGGCCCAAACAATCCCTCTGAAAGAAAAGGAAAAGCAAAGGAACTCCTAATAGCACCCTCCCACCTGCCTGAAAAAAAGAAATGGTTTGGAGGGCTCTTCTTTCTCTCTTGGTTGCTCACTGTTTCCCAAGCTAATGAAAGCCAGAGGCGGTGAGAGTGATAGGATTAACATTACTGAGAGACCAGAGTGAATTTTTCAGGTACTTCTCTCCAGTTCGTGAAGCAGGGAGGGGAAGAAGGGAATGTACCTCGTCGAAGGGCTACACAGGGTGACATGTTCCTTGATGTTCCTTTCTAAATGTGGCTCTGAGTCATGCTATGGAGTTGATTAGAAAAATTATCTTCCTGCAGTAGAAATACAAAGGTAAAAGAGTCTTGTTCAGTGTTCACTTCCCCAGCTCCGATTCTGAGCCTGCCCAAGCCTGCGGCAGGAGAGGGGCTGGTGAGCTGGCTGGAAAGCCACCTCCGCTCATCTCAATAATCAGAAATTATGAAGAGGCTGCGAGAGCAGCCATAGAAACAGCTCAAAACGCGCGCCTGAGGCTACATGCAGCTGCAGTCCTGGGGAGAGGCATGCGTGGTCTTGCATCTGCCTCCATCGCACAAGTTCCCACGTGCCAGGTCAGACGGGGCTAACGCAGTCCTTCCCCCCTCCGTTTCCTCCCCCACTTGATGTCTTTCCAAAGCTGTGCCCCAAAGCCTGCTCCTTCTGAAAAAGAGCTACAAACGGGGCCTGTGGCACATCCACCCTTCGTGGCAGGGCGCAGGGTCCGAATGGAGGCAGGATGCCAGCGACAGCATGATCGAGGGAGGGAAGCCCCGAAGCAGCCGTAAAACACAGCCAACTGGTTTGAACACACAGGAGCAGCGTGTGAGCTGGACCACCAGGTCGCAGCCAGCAGAAGAAAGTTATTGAAGGTGCACGTCGCCCTGAAGAAAGCCAGTGGAGATCGTCACGGCCGCGCCGCACCGGCTGGCCGAAGAGGCAGCTGCAGCATGGTGGTGGCTGCCAGGGCCCCGCGTGTCTCCTCGGGCGCTTCCCTGCTGATCTGTGGTCGTCGGCTCTGACCCTAAATCCACACCCAGGGTTGTGCCGTCAGCCCAAATCCCTGCAGCAACCCACTGTCCTCGGCCAGGGCTGAGCCAGCAAACTCACGTCAGAGGAGGGCGAGGGGAAATGCAAGCTGTGATGGTAATCAATAGGGTTTATTAGTTTTTAATGCCATTTCTGCAGGTTCAGCATCACTGTTAATTCAACTCA